GTCACAATGCCGTTGTACGTACGAGAGGTGAGATACTCGAATCCCAAGTACTTGATCACGTCATTGTTTTTTTTGACTTTTTGAAAATTCCATTTCCTAAAAATATGAAATTTTAAGAACTTGTTTAAATAATAAATGTGTACAGTTTAATTAAACAATAGCAGATAAATATAAATCAATCTTCTTTTTATAACATTTAAGCTGAGAATGAATCTTATTTGTGAATACTAAAAACACTAACTCTGTAGACTACACTACGTATATAGTAAGAAAAGTAGGTCATGTATGATGTGTACATACTAGGCCTTTTGCAGCTTTAAATAGTAATAATAATAATAATAATAACAATAATACTATACCATTAAAAGATACTATATTAAAAAGATACAATCTTGAAATATATTGTATACTCGCCAAAAAGATAATGGAAAAACAGCCGTGTATTCTAAAAGAATTGTAACACAAACAATGGAATGAAAGCGTTTTCTTCTGTCAGTATGAACACTAAACATGTATTCAAATCTGGCGCGCGGAAAAAGAAAAGTATGGGCGACGGTCGTTAGTTTCGTAAACTGAACGAGATATCATTTTTTTAATGAAAATTCATTGACATATGTTACATCTTTTGCGACAGCCTTAATTAGTGCGTTGGGCTTGTATGAAAACTCACTTCGAACTAAATCAATTACATGCTACTTATTTTAATATGACAAGGTAAGCGTCACCCAACTGTTGTGATGTGAGGACAGGGTCGACAATTAACCAACACGAAGTCTGTATACAATTAACGTCTTTATTGTTTGAAAGTACGAACGAGACATAGACTGCCTATTACTGAGAATGGACCCCCAAACTTTCCTAACCCCCACCTTTTATTCCCTACCTAACCTCTAAGTTTTCTGCGCTTTATGTCACTTCCATACCAATCATTTCTATGCTACATAATTGTTTGTACTATTTATTTACATTCTTTAATCTCAATATAACTAAAATAGACTATAGTTTGAGGGGTAATGAAAACAAGTAAACAAATGGGACGCTACTCTAAATCTACGCAAATACTTATATGTAACAATCCTAACACCAACCAAAGCATGTATTGAACAGCATAATTGACAGAATGTACCCTATATAAAAGAAGAGCTATGGTTGTTGATATCATTTTGCATTCGTCCGGTAAACATTTTCAGTAAAAGAACTTCAAAAACCTTCCATAACCTTTTTATCAAGAAACAAAGAGAGATGTAGTTTTATTGTAACACCAGGCTTTGACTCGGACCTACTTCAATTGTGTCTACATTGTTAAACTGATTAACTATTTGATGTAGGGCTCAATTGGCTCAGTAGGAAATGTGCATAATCTAAAAATATAAATTCCATTTCGTTCGGGGGGGGGGGGGGGGGGGAGGAGAAAAACTCTCATCTACACAAACACCCAACCACCTAATTACCCACACACACATCTTCCCACACAGCCACCAAATTACCTACCCACGAACCCACCAACTAACCCACCTACCTACCCGTATATATATATATATATATAAGGTTATATGTATATATATATATTGGGTAGGTAAGTAGGTAGGTAGATAGGTAGGTTGGTTGGTTGGTAGGTAGGTAGGTAGATATAGGTACATCATGATGAAATAATATTAAATACATAATGATTATGATGTGTGTTTTATCAGGGTATTTTTGTGCAGATGAATGTTGGTTCGAGAGATATAGCGAATGCATGTTTGATGACTCGGAAGAAAGAGAGTGAAGTTTTGCGATAGAAACGGGTTGTTATAGAATGCAAGCTTGGGACTAGGGAGCATGTACGAGATACTCCGTGTAATGCCAATATTAAAAATAGTTTTATGTTTATTTATGCGAGAATAGTCGTTGAATAAATAGTGAACAAGAAAAAAATAGACGTTGTGTCAAGCGATTATCGCCTGTATCGTGGTGATGTGAATGCACATGTTAGTGGTATGCTTTAAGTGGTAGTATATCGCGTCAGGTCAAACACAACACTCTCACAGCAGCCCTAACAATCATGTATAAATGTGTCATCTAGTCCTTATAGGTCTTTGTGCGAAAATTGCTCTTTGTGCATTTTTCTGTGTGCACACTTTTCTGTGCGTGCTTTTTCTGTTTGCGTTTTTTTTCTTTTTTTTTTGCGCATTTTTTCGTTGCGCTTTTTTCAGTTTGCGTTTTTTTCCGTTTGCGTTTTTTACCGTTTGCGCTTTTTCCTGTGTGCGCTTTTTTCTGTTTGCGCTTTAGCTTTTCCGTGTGCGCTTTTTTCCGTTGCGCTTTTTGTTTTGCTTTTTTTCCGTTGCGGTTCTTTCCGGACCATATATATATATATATATATATATATATATATATATATATATATATATATATATATATATATATATATATATATATATATATATATATCACATATGTGTATATGTATTCACATAAATCAAATTTGAATGTATAAGAAAATGAGTAACAGTTAGTAACAGAAGCTCTTAACATTTAATGCGATACTAAATCTGTAATCCATTGCATAATAATAATATATACAAATTTTAAAGATCAAATTGTCTTAAGTAGTGAATTTATTATTTTAAAACGTTTGGGAACTCTTTTAATGGCGACAAAAAAAAAAGCGTCAAAATTAGTCTATAGGGCAAACCAACCAGTTAAATTCAACTGTTGCTCGCTTTTTATTGCTTATGATGTCCATTATTCATTGTCGTCTCCCAAGTTTTTAAAACTTAATTTATTTACATTGGATTAAAATACGTTTCAAAAGTTGTTATTTTGTAGCATGCACTGGGAGGAAAAAGTCTGAAAGAAACACTGGTGTCGCGATTAGCCACTACCCGAAGAATTGCATGAAAGAAACTCTGCACGCAAACACTTTTTAGATTTGACACATGAATTAGGCTGTAATTTATTAATAGAGTATTGATGACGACATTTCTTTTGAGAGGGGGGGTGGGGGGTTCGGCTTAAACATTCTTACGCGGGGGATGGGCTTCGCCCCTACCCGAAGAATTGTATGAAAAAAAACTCTTCACGCAAACAATTTTTAAGATTAGACAAAATTGGCTTTTTAATTCAATGTTTACTCGAGAATCAATTACGTCATTCTTCCGTGTGCACTCTCTCTGTAGACTAATTTCTACTATATGCTCCAATGTGATAGATAGATACATAGACAGACAGACGGCGAAACTATTAGTATAGACGAGAAAAATGGCCCGATGAGGAAGGATACAACGGGCGCTAGGTTGATAGTGCTGTCTCTTTTCTCTAAACTAAAACCAAAATCACCACCTTCATTCAATTTAACCGGAAACGAAAAATGACATTGAAAACGGATTTTTATCCAGAATCGGTACTTTAAATTATAAAAAATTTAGTCATAGGCATATCCCTAAACCATGCACCTAAATCTCATTCATGACAAAATTCGCATTTAGAGTTTCTTTCAGGCAACTCTACTTCAATGTTTACTCGAGAATCAATGACGTTATATAACTGTGTGAACTCTTCGTCTGTAGACTAGTTTCTACTATATGCTCCAATGTGACGTCATGTTTCGTTTTCGTTTAACTATGCATGTTTTTAATTTGCTTGTGTTTTCTCCAGAACGTTCTTGTCAGATAGATAGATAGATAGATAGATAGATAGATAGATAGATAGATAGATAGATAGATAGATAGATAGATAGATAGATAGATAGATAGATAGATAGATAGATAGATAGATAGATAGATAGATAGATAGATAGATAGATAGATAGATAGATAGATAGATAGATAGATAGATAGATAGATAGATAGATAGATAGATAAATAGATAATTTCGGATAATTGGAATCATAATCGCGTTCCATCATTTTTAAACGGTTAAACTAGCGATGCGAACGACTACATTTGAATTTGATTTTTTTGTACACGAAAGGTTTATAGCCTGACTGTAACGTCATACCTCATTTACTTGTTCAACTAGCTACTATATTATAAGCGGGCTGGTAGTGTATCAGTCCGTCATCGCTATAGATTTTGGAACCATAAAAGTAAACACTTCACATGTCGTGCTTTTTACTTGCATCGCAGTGTCTTATTATAAGTAATAGAGTAGGGTTTGTTTATATAACGACTTAAATTTATTTTATAGTTGCCACTGTTTTTACTCTTTTGCATAACGTAAAGAAAATATTAAATACACGGACATTGCTAATACATATTAAAATAATTAAATAGATCAATGTCAAATATCATTTTTGTTTAGATTCCAAGAAAAAGTGGATACATTTAAATGAATGAAAGTAGGCTACATGTAAGAAAGAAGTATAACTATTGTAAATCTGTATCAGTTCTCACAAGCCGAAGATGAAAACTGTAATACTAAAGCGAACATGCAAGGCAAAGTGACGCTGTAAATTACATATCTGATCTGAAAAAAAATTTTTTGTTCATGTAATGATAATTTTGTACATGTTTGAATTATGTTAAAGACTAACACACACACAATTTGTATCGATGTACTTAATTCTATCTGAAAATAAAAGTATTATATATATATATATATATATATATATATATATATATATATATATATATATATATATATATATATATATAAGTATATAGGCCTATATTTTATTTTAAATAAATAATTTGTATTGGATTTCAAATCTTTATATTTTTAAATTTGCTATTTCTTTTCGTGTTCGTTAAAGATTTTTTTTTTAAAAACATAATAATAAGGTATGGATAAGCTCACATACCTTTTTATTGGCAATTGAAAAATTAACATTCACAATACAATATTTTTCTCTATGCGCATTTTTCTGTGTGCACAAATTTCTGATTCCGCTTTTTTCTCTTTTTGCACACTTTTCTGTGTGCGCGAATTTCTGTTTGCACATTTTTACGTTGCGCATCTTTCTGGGAACTAACCCTACCCGCACCTGTTTCTAGCCCACCATAAAACTTTCTACAGTTTACTTCGCATACGATAAAGTAATAAGAGCAGCTTACAGCACTCGTCTAAACGTTTAAAAAATTGTTCCCGCGAACCGGATTCGAACCAGTGACCTAAGGATAGCTATTATCATCTACAGTCCTCCGCTCTACCAACTGAGCTATCGCGGGTTGCTCCTACACTTAACATGTTTCACTTATTTTGGCCTTTAGATTTAGACTAGATCTAGTTACAAGCTCTTCATTTTAGAAGTACTGAACTTCAAAAAAATAAGTATGGAACATAATCAGCACAGTAATACTAATGGTAATTGCAATACTAACAAAGACTGTAAAGAAAGTAGATCAAAATCTATATTATCTAGCCAAGAAAATGAAAAAAACCTGTCGTATTTAATACTATCTTATCTAGATGAAGTTGAAGATAGGATACAAGCCCTCATGCGAAACGCACAAAATCTTTCCCACGAAAGAGAGAGCTTACTTACAGTACTTTCGCATTTACAAGAAGAAAATAATCAAATAATAATTAGATCTAGAGATAGATCTAGTTCTAACAGTGGTGAGGAATCATCTACAGAAGGTGAGATGGTGCTTATCAGCTTACTTATTACTAATTTAATAATATTGGGTAAAACCTTAGTTTAGCGTCGTAAATTCGGCCAAAACTAGTAATGTAGGGAAAGAGTGATTCAGTGAATTAATAATAATATAATATAATATTAATATGTAGTAATGTAGGGCCTACTATGTAGATGTATGTAATCTATCGTTTTAGGTACGTAAAATCGCCCGCGACTAGTAATGTGAAAAACAGGTGACTCCTTACATTTTAATAATTATTTCACATTTTGAGGAGGATTTAGAAATCTAGTGTATTTATGTTTTGAAAAATACAAAAATGTTTCCTTGTTTCATTTATGTACCTGTTTTTAGGGCCTAAACAATTTAATTAAAACTTTTCAGTAATAAATGAACACCAGCGATGTTTCCAACAGATGCAACCATGCTCATTTACTATAGCAGCCATCTTGTTTAAGTTTTATTTTTATAGAGTTATGGCGCGAGATTCAGGGGGAAGTCACTCTATTTTACAAATGTCTTCTGTTTATATAGCAAATCTTGCTTACGGACACTGCTGTTTAAAGTTAATTTCTGGCCTATATTGATATATTTAGCCATTGATTTAGGTTTATTATTCATTTATCTATAATATTTGACACCAACATATCACAATATACTTCTATTACAGCCTTGACAATGAGGTAACGTTTTGGTACATTAATAGCCGCGGGTGATTTTACGTACCCAAAACGATAGATTACCTGTTTTATGTAGCCTATATAGTATATAGTAGGCCGGCTCGTTGCTTAGATGGCTGGATTGACCTCTGACCCTGTCCTATCCACAAATTCTTATCATTATTTTAACACAAGATGCTAATAAAATGGATAATATGCCTTAGAATGCCAGAAAAAATCGCGAGAATGGTGGTTGTAAATAATGAGAGGATTTCTAGTGGAGCACTCTCAGTATAAACTGAACCGCGGCCATAAACGACCGTATAACGGGGAAAACGGTCTGTATAACAGTAGATTAATATATAATTGAGATATTTACCATGTATATTTACAGTATTATTGATTATCTTTTCCAAAAATCCAATGCCCCCGTAAGTAACCTTGCAACAATTTCTCCCTGCTATTTTTAGTAATGTTGCGTCATTGTTACGCTAGTTGCCAGACAGAAACAACTAGTTTTTGTTTTTTGCGGAATGAACTGTTAAATCTAGTATTTTAATTATAATTTAATTGTAGCATGTGCGGAAAAAGTAAAATTATAGACATTATTATTGTATTAGTAATTTTATTTGTATATTTATTTTTTTCTTCTCTGTGGGCTGACAGTAGCTGCATTGAATTTAATTAGTGACCGTTGGTTAACCTCGTCAACGCTGCATGGCCTATTCGTTTATATAATAGTGATGCTCGTTCAGCGGCCTTTTTCAGAGCTAGGCCTAATTACGGGCGATTTTTAGACTTAATTGATCGGCCGTTAGCCTTTTTCATTGCTGCGTATTTTAAAAAATGCTCATTCAGCAGCCTTTTTTTTTTTTTGGCACTAAATAATCTGTTTACGGGCATTTTAAGCGTTTATTTATTTATTTTTTTAAGCTAGACGTAGCTCTAGTTAAAAAAAAAATAATTTTTTTATACAGTTGGCTGTCTAGCATGCCTGAATTGGGAACTTTAAAAAAAATGACTGGACTTTAAAAAAATGACCAGAAGTAGGGAAGAAGGTATGTTTTTCAATTTGCTTGAAGAAGGGGGGGGGGGGGGGAAGAGAGAGAGAAGTGAAGACACCGACCATCTCGTGTACGCGTGTTCATTCTATGACGTGTACTATATTTATTAGACCTATAATATTGTAGCAATACTTACAAACCTATAGGAGTGGTCGGTTGCTAACAACATTATAGCTACTTAACCCGGCATACGATTGGACAATTTTTTTTGGCTTAATTTTAGTGACTATCTCAATGTTAAGTTTATAAATAATTACCACATGAAGAGTGTGATTTCCCGGTGTATTTTTAGACAATAGTCGATTATAGTGCTGTGCATACCAGCTAAAATGTTAAAAATTGCTTTCTGGTAGTGAAGGTCAAACGTAAGAGTTGTCCAAGTTTGGACGATTTAAAAACTTTGAATATTTGCGAGACTGTTGTCAAAATTGACACAAGGGTGTATTAATATTATAGTAATAGTAAAATTGTTCTCCCAATTGGGTCACTCAAACAACATTTTTTTAACATGTAATTCCATGGCTACCAGTCCCAGGGTTCCTGCGGCCTCCTGAAATTTCAGGATGTCCTGGAACTCTCCTTGAATTTTAAAAATCCAGAAAACTCCTGGATTTCTCCTGGAATTTTAACATTTCTCCTGAAATTTTGTAAAATGTCCTGAAATTTTACTCGCGGGGATAATTTTAGCATATATTTTTGTGTGCGTTAGATATCTAGGTCATCAGATCTGACCACCCCCAGTAAAATGTTCTGCTTTGTCGATTATGCGCATACAAGGCACACATTTTAAAATATAGACCTGTAGCTGTCTTTAACCTGTAGGTTTGGTTTAATTTTTTTCTCACTTCTATGAGTGAGGCTCAGTTTGATAAGCCTGAAGTTCTTTATTTTTTTAATTAAAAATTTCAAGTAGGCTCAAATCTAGTTTTTTGCCCAGCTAATTTGTAACATAGTCCGATAGGCCCTATTCTAATTTCTATTTACATGCATGTTGTTGTTGTAATACTACTACCCTCCCATCCCGCCTCTCAATTTCTTTCCCAAGGCGGGGTGGAGGAAGCTGGGGGAAAGCACTGGTTGGGTATATGAAGTGAACTCTGTGTGACCCGCTAGTGATGTCATCAGCAATATACTACAGGCCCACCGTAAGCTTAGATAAACTCAGACTGACCCTGCACTACCATGTCTAGCTGGGGGGGGGGGGGGGGGGAAGAGATACGCTACTGGCAATTAAAAAAAAAACTTTGAGGTTACTTATCAGAAAAATATATTCTATTTGTGGCGGAAATGTTTTATTTCCAAAGTAGTTTATTTCTAGTAGGCTATATCTAAGCTACTCAGGTTGATATACTTGTTCATCAAATGGTAAAAAGCTAAAATTACAGTTAGGATATTTACTTTTGAAGACTTCCATTTAATCAATATACCATGTCCATTTTTAAAAGATAAATCATGGTTTCAGCAGTTCTGTTTATTAATATTGACATTGTTAGTACGGAGGCTGACATTGGTGAGGTGGGGAGGGGTTAAGACACTTGACACTGAGGTATGGCTATGATTGCTAGGCTTAATATGTTTCTCAGTAGCAAAGGGGGGTCAGGGTGTTGAGTAGTTAAATTATGTCCTGAAATTTTGGTTTTTCTCCTGAAAAACTCCTGGAATTCTCCTGGAATTTTAAGTTCACTTTGGTGTAGGAACCCTGCAGTGTGGAAGCTGTATAGTAATATAGTTGTGTTTTTTTAAATTGCCATTCATTTTCGGACCATTATTTTTAGCATAATTAGGCTAATTAACTTATCGAGCTGACGCCGCTATTTAATTGTTTTATTTCAGTAATTAACAATTTGTTAATTCGACACTACCCCCCCCCCCCCTCCGCCCATCAAAAGCAGCCGTCCGTGACGACAGTTTACAGACGATAATGAAAATATAATGCGGAAATTGTTCCCCCCCCCCCCAGTCACAAATCCAACCCATCTCTACAATTGTAAACATTTACATTTGTCGTGACCCACAGCTCACCAGACCAGTGTGTTGATCTCTAGAAGTAGTGAGAGTTGTCCAACTATTACTAGACTTAGTATTAGTGGGGTTAGTACTACATTTGCTTATTTAATTATTTATCGTGCTTTCAAATATGATATAGCCTAATAGATTTTTGTTAGGACTAATTCTTTTTAATAAATTTTCATTAGGCTAATTATAATATTATTTTCCCTGTGCTTCGATCAAATATTTATATTAGGCTAACTAATATGTGTGCTGTGCTCGCTTTGTGGCACTCAATGCTTCTCTCGTTGACAAAACAGCGCAAGAGAGCACGCGTGGCCTGTGACGATGTTTGGAATGCATATTTCTTGCTCTCAACTGATCAGTTTTAATGCGCTGACATTTTTAAAAACATTCTATAGGCATGTTTTTATTGAATAGGCTGATACACTGTTTGTATTAGTTAGCTTCTCTCGTTGATAAAATTACGCAATCGAGCGGGCGAGCTTTTGTCTGCGCTTGGTCTGTGTCGCTGATTGGGATGCATTTCTCGCCTACATGTGATAAATTTTAATGCAATGACAGTTTTTAAAAGAGAAATCAAATAGATACGAATCTTAACTAAATATTTTAAACTCAGTCTTTGTGATTATCGTGCAGGTCCCATAGCTCAGTAAGGGAGGAGGGTTAGATTCATTTTACTATTGTCCTAATTAAACCTTGCTAAAATACTTACACTGATTAATCAAAACTAAATAAAAAGTGAATACAAATTTCCTTTAAAAAGTTTAGATCTATATATTTTAAACAAAAACATGATTATTTTTGGTTTCTTTTGGTTTCATTTGGCCTATACTAAAAAAATATAATATTGAAAATAAGTTACATAACCTTTCGATTATGTTTTATTGCAGCATATCTCCGCTCCCCCCTCCCCACACATGATCCTTACGAACATCCTAGGTCGTTTTCAGGTCAACTATAGGAGTCGATCTCCGAATGGTTGTCACGGAAAAACTTTTCCCAGCTAAGCTGTTGGTCACCAATAATTAAGAGCATGCATTTTAGCCCCTAATGAGCTAAAAACCAGTGCCTGGTTGCTATGAGATATAACTCTAGTTTTCATTGGTATTGTTTTAATAGAAAAATAACTAAAATTAAGATTTTGTGAGTTTATGTACTATATTAACTATTAATATATTATAAAGTAATCTATCGTTTTAGGTGCGTAAAATCGACCGAGGTTAGTTATGTGGAAAAAGGTGACTCATTATTATGGCTAAAATACAAGTATATGGATTGTGATATAACTAAAATACAAGTATATTGATTGTGATATATTATTGTCAAATAGGCTATAATAGATAATTGAATAATAAACCAAAAGCAATGTCTAAATATATCAATTGATAAAAAACAGGGATGCCAAATCACACCCTGCCGGTGACTGCCCATGCAAAATTGAATTTTTCCCCCACTGAAACCTTCTCAGGAGTATTCTTATCAACTCCCCAAAGCTTCATGAACTTTTTATATACCGTAAAGAAATAATGGCAGAAGCCAATGTCACAGAAGAAACCCTAATAGAACGATTGGAACCAAAGCCTTCAGATATCGTTCTTGGTTCCTCTGTTACTTTTGAACAACTGCAGCCTGCAGATGTTGACTGGCCTATCTGCTGGACTTTAGATAAAAAAATATTATTGGCTAACTATCCATAATAAAAAACCTGGTTGTATCCCTTGCTGAAAAGTTGGCAATCTCAGAGTCGAGGCAAAAATGGGAATGAAGGTATCGAACGAATGGGTCGACAATAAAAAAGTTCCTTCTGTACAAATCAACAACAACAGCTTATGTCTTTAAGAGAGAAATTATTCGATCACAAAGAAGCTGCGGCACACAAAGCTGCGCTTAAGATCCTAACAGAAGCCGCTGCAGCATCTATTGAGAATGTGTTGTTAAAGGCATTAACTTGTGAGAAAATCATAACTGCAAAGATTTTTCATACAGCGTATGTAGTAGCCAAAGAAAACCAATCGTTTCATTATTATGAATCTGAAATAGATTTGCAAGAACTAAACGGAGATGAGATGGGCCGTATTCTTCATTCAACCATTGCTTGCATAAATGTAGTCTATCACCAGTTGTGAAATGAGAAAAATTTGTTCCAAGAAATTGTACGGTTGAACAGTAAAATTTCATTGATCATCAACAAATCGACTATGCTTAGCCAAAATCGACTTTAATTGTACATATTCATGTTTGTCTAGCTGACAGTGGAATGACCTCACCAGTAAATTTATTCTTGGATTTGGTAGAACTCAAAAGTTTACCCGCAAATGGAGTTTTTGCTTCTTTACTACACTGCCTTCCTTTCTATGGGTTAACAAAAGACTTTCTAAGAAGGAGCTTGGTTTACCTTTCATGTGATGGAGCATCTGTGATGGTTGGAAGCAAAAGTGGCCTCAAGACAAAAGTTTCCATCGGTTCTGGTTTGGTATTGTGCTAACCACAAGTGGCCTCAAGACAAAAGTTTCCAACAGTTCTGGTTTGGTATTGTGCTAACCACAAGTGGCCTCAAGACAAAAGTTTCCATCAGTTCTGGTTTGGTATTGTGCTAACCACAAGTGGCCTCAAGACAAAAGTTTCCATCAGTTCTGGTTTGGTATTGTGCTAACCACAAGTGGCCTCAAGACAAAAGTTTCCAACGGTTCTGGTTTGGTATTGTGCTAACCACAAGTGGCCTCAAGACAAAAGTTTCCAACAGTTCTGGTTTGGTATTGTGCTAACCACAAATGGCCTCAAGACAAAAGTTTCCAACAGTTCTGGTTTGGTATTGTGCTAACCACAAGTGGCCTCAAGACAAAAGTTTCCAACAGTTCTGGTTTGGTATTGTGCTAACCACAAGTGGCCTCAAGACAAAAGTTTCCATCAGTTCTGGTTTGGTATTGTGCTAACCACAAGTGGCCTCAAGACAAAAGTTTCCATCAGTTCTGGTTTGGTATTGTGCTAACCACAAGTGGCCTCAAGACAAAAGTTTCCATCGGTTCTGGTTTGGTATTGTGCTAACCACAAGTGGCCTCAAGACAAAAGTTTCCAACAGTTCTGGTTTGGTATTGTGCTAACCACAAATGGCCTCAAGACAAAAGTTTCCATCAGTTCTGGTTTGGTATTGTGCTAACCACAAGTGGCCTCAAGACAAAAGTTTCCATCGGTTCTGGTTTGCTAACCACCGACTGGAACTCTCCGTTGGTGATGTCGTAAAACAAATTTTAGCGATCAACAGATTTAAGGCATTCATTGATAAACTGTATGTAGTTTATCATTCTTCACACAAAAATTACAGAGAATTACAACTATGTGCTTGTTTGTTTGAGGCTGAGTTGTTAAAAATTGGAAGAATGTTAAGCATGCGATGTGTGGCATCCAGCTTCCATTCTGTTTTAGCAGTTTGGGAAGATTATGAAGTTTTAGTATTTTTTTTTTGAAGCATTTTGAAAAAGCTTAACTTGGCTCAACCAGAGACAAAAAAAGATCTATGTTCTATAAATTTTGCCAAGATTTAAGTTAGTGTATTTCTTGTCATTTTTCTACATCCTGTTTTGGTTACAGTTAAACACGCAATTAAATACTCTACTGGGGAGCTGTTACTATTCAAATGTTTGATCTTTATATTGCTATGTGACAGACAACATCCATTTAGTCTATCATATTGGTTACAGTGAACTATACCAGGGAAATTAAAGGTCTGGGTATAGTGCTAACAGTTAAATCCTTCACAGTATGTTGTTATTCCCATGTGAGTCACCAGTTCTGCTGGAGTACCTACATTTACATCAAGTATTTTAAAATAATTTAATCAGCCTATCATTACCTCGCGGTATTGTTTACCTACTGGTTCTAGTAGTTCCATGTATGGGTCCGGTCCGCCTGTTGTAACGCCGCTGTAGTCACTGTATTGTTAACCTACTGGTTCTAGTAGTTCCATGTATCGGTCCGGTCCGCCTGTTGTAACGCCGCTGTAGTCACTGTATTGTTTACCTACTGGTTCTAGTAGTTCCATGTATGGGTCCGGTCCGCCTGTTGTAACGCCGCTGTAGTCACTGTATTGTTAACCTACTGGTTCTAGTAGTTCCATGTCCGGTCCGCCTGTTGTAACGCCGCTGTAGTCACTGTATTGTTTACCTACTGGTTCTAGTAGTTCCATGTATGGGTCCGGTCCGCCTGTTGTAACGCCGCTGTAGTCACTGTATTGTTTACCTACTGGTTCTAGTAGTTCCATGTATCGGTCCGGTCCGCCTGTTGTAACGCCGCTGTAGTCACTGTATTGTTTACCTACTGGTTCTAGTAGTTCCATGTATGGGTCCGGTCCGCCTGTTGTAACGCCGCTTCAACGAGCGTCTTTCAAGGGATGAAAAACACAATTTAAAAAAAAGAAAAAAAAACATAAAACGAGTTGTAAATTAGAGGGCAATAGGGGTGGATTGTGACATCCTTTGGGGGGGGGGGGAGGGGGCTGACTTTTTGTGACAGTGAGAGGAGATGGTACGAATAGTGCAAAAAAGTGTGACATCATTTGTGGACGACCCCTTATTTAAGAACAAGGAAAGCTGACATTTCAGTTCTACAAAGTTGTAAAGGGTAACTCCGCCTGCTGATAGGATAGTGGTGAAAGGCAGACATGTTCTTACAAATCCTTAATTACAATTTTTGTGTGCATAGACTACTAATTGATGTTCAGTTTCTTTCAGTTTCTGACATCTCTTAAAGGGGGTGGGTGGGGGGGGGGGGCAGAATGAAATTTAATTTTATACAAATCATTTAAGCCCCCATGCCCTCCTTACGGAGAAAAATGTCTAAAAGAAACACACTGTTTACTTTGAAAACCACACTAGACTTTCAAAAATGAAAATACAAATGTAGTTGTAAATACATATTTTGGTTTGAAAAGTGGAACTTAAATTTGATGCTATGCCATGGAGCAGGGGTGCAGGGGAGGGGGGACTTGTTATTTATTAGTGTCAGTGGTAAAGTTTAAAGCAATTTCTTTTTTCCTACATTGGCATTTCTTTTTTTCCTACATTCATATCATGATTTAAATGTTCTTTATCAGGAGAACATCAAGAAATCTGCTCCACCATTGAGAGGCTCAAGAAAAGATGCAAAAGCGTAGAAATAAAAATTCATACAATTAGAAGTGCAGAACAGGAAAGTGCTTATAAGACAGTCAACTCTTTAGTCAAAGATCTGGAGCAGATATGTTTGCAGAATGAAAGTGATGATCAAACTTACAGCCAATTAGCTCAAAGTTATTTGAATGCATGTGTGTCTGACTTGAGTAGTACTGGCCCAATTGATTACAAATTTCAAGGTATGATTTTAGGCTGCAGACTGGAAGATCAGAAGCAAGTAAGACAACGGCTTGAATGTTTAGTCAATGGGAAATGCCATGTCAGTCAAATTGAAGAGGAATTCACGGCATCAGCTCAAAATGTTGAACAAAGTGAATGTTTATCTAAAAGTGCTTGTTCTTCAGAAAAAATATAATATTCATATATAGTATATTTGATATGGTAAGCATATATGTACAGTATAGGAGCTTGGTTGTTTCTTGAAATGTGCTAACTAAAATTGTAAGCTGTCTGTATGAGAAAGCCAAACCAACCCTTAGACTACAGATAGAAATAACACGGTTTTGTTTTAGCACTTTAAGCCTGCTAATTTAAACTTCCATTTTTATACGATGTCAAATCAAAAATAATTCTTCGTTGCTTAAGCAGTGCTTTAAATGTAAGTTTAATATATTCCTACCTGGATTTATAAATAGGCCTACTGTTTTTATTCATCAAATAAAAATGTAAAAAAGGTGAAAAATTTGTGATTATTAATATTTGATATTATTTCATGTTTAATTTTGATCAATAAAATTGGTATAGTGATCATAGTAGGTAATCTACAGTGAACATTATATAGAGTTTCGCTTGATAGAAATATTTATTCTAAGCTTAGATTTATGACAACAATCATATAAAAATATCCCAACAAACAAAATAGTAACTCAACTTTCAAATAAGCAGACAGTCATAAAAAATAATCTTAAAAATTGCTTTTTACAAGCTTTTATTTAGTTTGCAATGTCTGTGAGTTTGCGGCAAATCTTGTAACTCAATTTTGACCCACTTCTAATGCAGCAATTTCATTAAAACTTTCCAGATAAGTTCCACTTTGATGACTAGAAGTTAATCAATTTTTAAAATTTAAATTAGATGTTTAATTAGTCATTAAAAAGATATATTGCTATATTCAATAACAAAAGGGGGGATAACTAGCTAGATCCGATCACCCAAACAGTCTGGTGAGCTGTGGTCCACGAGAATGTTTACAATCGTAATGCCAGTCAAGCTAGTAAAGGCTATTAGGGGCAGATAATTAAGTTTTTAAACGATTTGAAACTAAGGGCAGGTAACAAGATCTGGTTGCTGTCATCTGTAAATTGTCACCGACAGCTGCTTACACTAAGGTGGGTGGGAGGGGTTGGAGAGGGGGAATGGATGCCTGTCACCCTTCCTGGGACATAGGCCGCTGACAAGAGCTTTCCAGGCATCTCTGTCCTGAGCTAGTCTCTCCAACTGTCCCCAGGTGTATCCAATTTTCTTGGTGTCTTCTTCCAGGTCATCTCCAGGTCTTTCTTGGTCTGCCTCTCCTCCTCCTGCCCTGTGGATTCCAGGTGAGGGCCTGTCTTGTTATGCTGGACACAGGCTTCCTGATTTGTGGCCAATCCATTTTTTCTGGAGGATCTCTTCTTCAGATGGTAATTGATTTGTTCGTTGCCCTAATACCTCATTTCTTTTAGAGTTTTAGACCAGCGCATTCTCAGGATCTTTTTTTAGGCAGGAGTTTATAAATGATTGTATTTTCTTCTTATTTGTAGCAGTTATTCTCCGTGTCTCAGCTCCATAGAGTAAAACAGGTTTCACTAGTGTGTTGAAGAACCAAATTTTTATTCCAAGGGTTTAATCTCCAGAACCCCAAAAATTTTTAGTTGGTTGAAGACTGCTCTTGCCTTGCCTGTCCTTATCTTTATGTCTGCTTCTGTAATGCCCTGCTTATCAAGGCAACCCTGCCTTACTCCGGTCTGTACAGGGAAGGCCTCCAAAGTCTGTTTACCATGCACTACTCTACATTTCAGACCTTCATATGAAGACATAATAATGTTGACCATTTTCAATTATGATGCGCAGAGTAGTCCCTCCTTCCACTCTTCTGATATTTGTTCATCTTCCCACATTTTCTTGAAGAGTGTGTATAGTAGTGTGGTGCTAGTTTCTATATCAGCTGTCAGTGCTTCTGCCGGTATACCATCTATTCCTGGAGCCTTCCAATTTTTCAGCTGCTTTATAACTTTATGTATCTCTTCTTTTGAAGGCGGGTTACAGTCTATAGGGAGATCATAAAGCATCATATTCTTTGTGCCTTCATAGTACCTCCAGTCGGCCTATACTTCCACAGCTAGGCTACATGTCACACAACTTTGATGGTGTAAGCGGGACAAGATTTAGGTCAAACTGAGCATCCTGTGAAAAGTAAATACTACCCCGATATCACAGACGACATGCGACAATTCGATCATAAAGCAGGAAAAGAAAAAATCTGACATTTCAGTTAGATTTTCACAATTATGTCCCCTAGTTTGTAACAATCCATGAAGGATGTTATTGATATTGTCGCACTATAGACGTTTAAGAACATATTATACATCATAAGATGAGAACATTTATACATCATAAGATGAATTGATGAGATTAAATTTATTGCATCAAATATGTACAGCTATTAAATAAGTAACAATAAATTACTAAGCTAAATTTTTTTTAAATTAATACGTTTTACAATTTTTAAATTCAAGGCTGTAAATATAACTGCAAGTCAAGCACACAATTTTTAATGTCAGGTATTATCCACATCATTTAACTTTAAATAGATAGCAACAGCATTAATTTGAAGTAAATATCGGTAAACAATTCTTTCTTTGACACCACACATAATATGGGAAATGGTAATTGAAAGAAATACATTGGTTGTGCCCGCCATATTGTAATATTTTATGTCATTTATTTTTAATACAATTTTTTTGCACACAAAACAACCCTACATTGGGGTGCTGTCCTGTATAATGGTGTAAACATCTGGAGAAAAGAACAGGGTGCTACAAGAATCTGGTAAGCTATCTCTCTCTCTCTCTCTATATATCTATAATATAAGCGGGCAAGTAGTGTGTCAGTCCTTCCTTCCTTCCTTCCTTCCTTCCGTCATCGCTATAGCTTTTGGAACCATAAAAGTAAACATCGCGCCATGAAGTGCTTTTCAGTGCACCGCAGTGTCTTATTATAAGTATTAGAGTAGGGTTTGTTTATATAGCGGCATAGAGCTATTTTATAATTTCCACTGTTTGTACAATTTTGCATAACGTAAAGAGAATATTAAATACACGCACATTGCTAAAACATATTAAAAGGATCAATGTCAAATATAGTTTTCGTTAATATTCCTAGAAAAAGTGGATACATTTCAATAACATAATAACAGTACGGTAGAAAAATCAAATTAATATAACTCTTTTTTCTAATTTTGACAAAAGAGGTAATTTAAAAATACATTAAACTCACGCTAATAAAAAATGTGAATGCAAATATACGGTCGTCATAGAAGGAATTAGTGTTGCAATAATATAATTAGCAAAATGTGAATGCAAATTATCCGGAAGTGTAAGAGTAAATTATTGTTAGAAAATTATAATTAACATGGATTGATAAAAGGCAATCTTTTATTTATTTTATTCACTGAATGTAGGCCCTACTGTTTATTACTTATAATTTTTAATCAACTATTCAGCACTATTATAGGCGCGTCATCACGTTCATTAGGTGCGCAATGGTTTTAGTTATGAAACTCAATTGTAAATTTTTAAAATTTAAAGTACTGGAAAAAAGATGCGTGAATGGATAAAGTGAAATATTGTAGGTAAAACAGTATAAATAATAGGCAGTATTTAAAATATCCCTTAGGGGGCGCCAAAGTGGGTTGGAAAAAATTTACGAGGGGGGGGGGGGTGGAAATCGAAAGTTTTAGGGCGGGGGGGGGGGGGAAGGGGTGCAAATCGAAAGTTTGAGGGGGGTGCAAATCACTGGAAAGGGCGCGATTTGGCGCTACGGGCTAGACTGTGAGCAATATGCCTTTATGATTGCATTTAAATTGTGTTTATGTTATGAGTGTTGTGTTTGTTTTTTCGTTTTTTTGTTTTTTTTTTTTTGCGTTCGTTTATGTTGTGTTTAGTTTTGTTCTGTTCCCAAGTTGGTACATTTAAAAAAGATTTACCGTGGCGGAGCACGGGATGCAGCTAGTATATATATATATGTGTGTGTATTTAATCATGCTAAAAACATTGTGATCAAAGAAAATCTCCAAGACCAAATGCAGACTTTTCATTAGTAAAACCCTAACCCTATCTCCAATGATAGATTACTAGGAGAGATGAAACTGAATGCAGTTTCTGAAATAAATGAAAAAAGAAGATGGCGATGGATGTTGCATGAATGAATCCAGATGACATTGCAGGAATGATGCTCAACTTGATGTCTCAAGGAAAATGAAAGCAGGTAAGGCCAAGGGAAACGTGGATGTGCACGGCGGGGAAGCAGCTGGCAGAGGCAGGACTGTCATGGGGGACTGCCAAGTAGCAGAGGCAGGACTGTCATGGGGGACTGCCAGAAAGCAGAGGCAGGACTGTCATGGGGGACTGCCAGAAAGCAGCTGGCAGAGGCAGGACTGTTATGGGGGACTGCCAGGAAGCAGAAGCAGGACTGTCATGGGGGACTGCCAGTAAAATTTCCGGTGACCGACAAAAGTGGAGGGAGCTTTCTGTAGCAAGTAGCAGCCTCATGTCTCTTGGGCACAAAAAGGAAAAGATGATATTTATATACATATCTATATACATAGGCTTTCATATATATTCTCATATCCAAACTGCTTACAATGTGATATCTCTTACCATAAAAGAATGTTAAGACATAAATAATAATGCAGTCCTGACAAAACACTAGGTATTTTTAAAAAAAATGACACATCACATCTTAACTGACATCTGACTGAGAACGATCAAATGACAATCTCACCTGGAACCTGACTGAGAACCATCAAATGACAATCTCACCTGGAACCTGACTGAGAACCATCAAATGACATCTCACCTGGAACCTGACTGAGAACCATCAAATGATTACTTTTGATTTAGCACTAAGATATTGGTTCAACCAGATTTCAATGATATTGAGGGATTATAAAAAAAGTATGTGTAGTTTTTTTATCAGCCAGCCTTCACTTACAGCAAAATGAATACTTCAAATGCCCATATAGAACTATTTGTTGAATTTTTTAAGTCAATACTTTTTAAAAATAATTTACGCATTTGTTTTTTTTTTTTAAAATATCAAAATCTATACAGACTTATTGCCAGCCTAACACTATTATAAACTCTGGCCTTGTAACACTATTATAAACTCTGGCCTTGTAACACTATTATAAACTCTGGCCTTGTAACACTATTATAAACTCTGGCCTTGTAACACTATTATAAACTCTGGCCTTGTAACACTATTATAAACTCTGGCCCTGTAACACTATTATAAACTCTGGCAACACACCACAGACATTCCTGACTGGATTTTGGTCAAACTGGTTTGGCCATTTTACTATAATAGAAAAAACATCCAATTTACTTAACTACAACAAAGTAGAGTACAGTTCAATTCATTTAAAAATGACTACTTGTTTTTTTACTAGCAATAAACATACATTCTTCTTCAATCTTAAATGATTACATGTCCACATGTTGTGCACCATATGCCTTGCTTTTCTTTCAGAATTTACTTACATAACCTTTGTTCATCTGAGCATGCAGATCCATTGCTTTTTCATTTATCAATTAAAAATAATTAAAATTCCAAACAGAAATTAAAAAACTAATTACATTTTTGCAAGTATAAGTATAAAGCAGTTTAGATAAAACAGAAACAGAATTTTACAATATGTCATAGGAAACCATGGGTCGTCTTGGTCCGATGGGACACAACCAAAATATTGGTAGACCTTGTCCACACAGCCTTCTGTAAGAACTGTAACATTGGCCTGCTCGAATACTGTTCAAGAAGAAAAACAAGAAGGTTTGTTTATATAACGACTTAAATTTATTTTATAGTTGCCACTGTTTATATATATATATATATATATAAAAACAGTGGCAACTATAAAATAAATTTAAGTCGTTATATGTATGTATACATATATGTATGTATACATATATGTATGTATACATATATGTATGTATACATATATGTATGTATACATATATGTATGTATACATATATATGTATGTATACATATATATGTATGTATACATATATATGTATGTATACATATATATGTATGTATACATATATATGTATGTATACATATATATGTATGTATACATATATATGTATACATATATATGTATGTATACATATATATGTATGTATACATATATATGTATGTATACATATATATGTATGTATACATATATATGTATGTATACATATATATGTATGTATACATATATATGTATGTATACATATATATGTATGTATACATATATATGTATGTATACATATATATGTATGTATACATATATATGTATGTATACATATATATGTATGTATACATATATATATATATGTATGTATACATATATATATGTATATATACATATATTTATGTATATATACATATATATATGTATATATATGTATATATATGTATATATATACATATATATACATATATATGTATGTATACATATATATATGTATGTATACATATATATATGTATATATACATATATATATGTATATATATGTATATATATGTATATATATACATACATATACATATATATATACATATATATATTTATCTAATGTATAAAGCTCAGTTCTGTATGTAATGCATATGTTTGTCGTTGGAATTGTATGAATTTAAGTGTTAGAAAATTATCGTGCGCATTTGTCTAAATTTATGAGCTAAAAAATCACTATTGAAAGTGTTGGGAAATAATTTTCATTTTTCAAATTATAGTAATAATTGTCGGCATGTTCATTAAACACAAGTTTTAAAAAAATATCATCTTTTACAAAAATTCTAATTATGTCTTTATTTAGTCCTATAGCATTTACTTCCCTTTGATAAATTAGGAAAACACAATTACTTCCCTTTATAAAACCATTGCATTCGTGGAAAATTTTATTACTTTGTTTTGGTGTTGGGAAAAAAAATAATTACATAATTAGCGGGGATTGATCAAGTGCAAATGTTGTAGGTATTTTACGGATAAGCTTGGAGTATTAAAATTGTTCATTAAATTGAAACAGGTGCGTTCGTTTAAGTGAGTGCAAAAGACTGTGAATAAGTTGGGGTACGATAGTCGTTCATTAAGCTAAAACAGGTGATTCCGCCCCGGGCGTTTATGTTCGCGTTAGTGTTTTCTTTGTGTTTAGGTGGGTTTGCGTTAGTGGTTGCGTTTTGATTTGGTTCGTTTTTGTTCTTTCTTTTTTCGTTTTTGTTTGTGTTTTTTTGTTTGGGTTTGTATTTGTGTTTTTGGTTGGTTTTGCGTTTGGATTTGGTTTGTTTTCGTTTGCTTTTTCGTTGTTTTTTTGTGTTGGTATTGGTGTTTGTGGTTGGGTTTGTTGTTAGGTTTTTGTTTTCGTTTGCTTTTTTGTTTGTTTTTTCTTTGTGTTTATATTGGTGTTTGTGGTTGTGGTTGGGTTTGTTGTTAGGTTTTTGTTTTCGTTTGTATTTGTAATTGTGTTAGCGTTATGTTTGCGTTTTGTTGTTTTGGTTGGTTGTGGTTTGGGTGGGCAATGCCGGGTTTATGATGATTACTAAACACACAGGTAATGGTCTTTAACAGAAAGGTTTTTCACAGAAGCCAGAGCAGGGCCTGGCCGGGACGG